AATTCCACTTGTTCAGACAAGTGCAGACAAGAACATAGGGATTCCTCTTCCCTGACATCCCAGTCAAGGCAATATCACCTTGAGAGTAGCAGGATGCAAACATTTCTTGTCTGCTCCAGCCCCATGTTGCAGAATCTCTATCCAAGACAAAAGGGGCTAAAATGTCTGGAGACCTCTTCCTCTACCCAGCCCCATTCATAGGGTAGAAGTTTCACCCCAGACATGATAGGCCAAGAATAATGAGGCCACGATTTCAGTTGCCCAGTTCAAAGGATAGAGGTTTTAGCCAAGAGAGACAAGCATAGAAGACAATAAGCTTCCAACCTCACCCAGAAACCTGCTCATAAAGCACGGGTGTCACCTTGAGAGAACTGGGCCACTGCTCCTGCTCCAGTTCCAGAGCAGTTGAAAATGGGTTTTACCTAGAGTGAAAGGGAGGCCATAATAACAGAAGGCTCCAAAGCTCTCCCCAAGTGAACTGACTTTATTTGTAACAAAGTATGGGAAAGTTCAAGCATAAGTGAGCTCACAAACATAACAAATATTTGGTTGATATGCAATTAAGAGGAGGCTGGTAGCTTCATGAGAGCAAAAGCTAACTGTAGATTATCTAGAAGTTTACCAGAGACAATTGAGGAAGGAGGCAGCTAACAAAGGTCCTCCTGTAGCTGGAACAAACCTCAAAGACACCTTAAGGACTATCCTTGCAATGGGAACCAAATTTAATTGGATCAAGCTGTAGAGCAACACATGTCCCACATGTTTTCAGAACAACAGAACAAGAAGAATTAGTGGAGGCTATCTGCTGGGTAGGAAACCTACAGAGACACAACAGTCCACACAATGACCAGGGGAAGACACAGCCAAAAGTGGCCCTGATGAAACCACTGTCATCCAAGAGTAACTGTGCATAAGCTTAAGGTTGTGCCTCTGAGAAGTGACACCACAGGCTTCTCAGAGCAAACAGAATTCAATAAAATAGTCCAGCAAAGTCACTAAAAAGTCAACAAGCAAACAACATCAAAATATAGAAATTATTTTTAAAAATTATTCTGCAGTTTAAAGGTACAATAACTGAAAGAATGTCATATAGTTGGAATTATATAGTATGTAGCCTTTTCAGACTAACTTCTTTCACTTAGGAACATGCATTTACAGTTCTTCTACGTCTTTTCACAGCTTGATAGCTCATTTATTTTTAATGCTGAATAATATTCCATTGTCTGGATGTACCATGGTTTATTTGTCCATTCACCTACCGAAGGACATCTTGGTCACTTCCATGTTTTGGCAATTATGAATAAAGCTTCTATAAACATCCAAGTGCGGGTTTTGTGTGGACATAATTTTTCAACTCCTTTGGGTTAATACCGAGGAGCTTAATTGCTGGATCATATAGTAAGAGTATGTTTAGTTTTGCTAGAAACTGCTAAATTGTCTTCCAATGTGGCTATACTATTTTGCAGTCCCACCAGCAATGTAGAAGAGTTCCTGTTCCTCGCATGCTCACCATTTGATGTTGTTAGTGTTCTGGATTTTGGCCATTCTGATAGATGCGTAGTGGTGTCTCGTTGTTTTAATTTGCATTCCATTATGACATATGATGTACAACAACTTTTCACTTGTTTATTTGCCATCTCTATATCTTCTTTGGTGAAATGCCTGTTAAGGTGTTTGGTCCATTTTTTAATCAGGTTGTTTGTATTCTTGTAGTCAAGCATTCAGAGTCCTTTGCATATTTTGGATATCCTTTATCAGATACGTCTTCTGCACATATTTTTCCCCAGGCTGTGTCTTTTCTTGTCATTCTTTGACAATGTTCTTCACAGAGCAGAAGAGTTTAATTATAACGAAGTACAATTTATCAATTATGTCTTTCATAGATCATGCCTTTGGTGTTGTATCTGAAAAGGCATCACCATACCCTTGGTCATCTAGCTTTCTTCTACGGTATCTTCCAGGAGTTTTATAGTTTTTTGTTTTACACTTAGGTCTGTGATCCATTTGAGTTAATTTTTGTGAATGATGTAAGGTTTTTATCTAGGTTCACATTTTTGCAAGTAGATGTCCATTTGTTCCAACATATTTTGTTGAAAAAACCATCTTTTCTCCCTTGTGTTACCTTTGCTCTTTTATCAAAGATCAGTTGACTATATTTGTGTGGTTCTACTTCTAGTCTCTCCTTTCTGTTCCATTGATCTGTTTTCATTCTTTCACAAATACCACACTGCCTTAATTACGGTAGCTGCAGTCAGTTTGAAGATTTGGGGTGTCAGTTCTCTGATTCTGTTCTTCTACTTCAGTATTGTCTTGGCTATTCTGGGTCTCTTGCCTCTCCATGTAGACTTTACATTCAATATCTAAAGTTTGTCAATATGCACAAAACAACTTGCTGGGATTTTGATTGGGATTGCATTAAATTTATAAATCAAGTTGGGCTGAACTGACATCCTGACAATATTGATGTCCCCACGAACAAAGAATACCTCTCCGTTTATTTAGGTTCTTTGATCTTTTCCATTAAAGTTTTACAGTTTTCCTCCAATAGATTTTGTACATATTTTTGTGAGAATTATTTGTAAGTATTTTATTTGAGGAGGTGCTAATATAAATGGTATTGTGTTTTTAATTTTAAATTCCACTGGTATGGTGGAATATTGCTGGTATACGGAAAGTGATTGACTTTTGTTTATTAATCATGTATCCTACAAACTTCCTATAATCTCTTATTAGTTTCAGGAGTGTTTTTGTCAATTCTTTTAGATTTTCTACATATACATTCATGTCATTGTGAACAAAGATTTTTTTTTTTCTTACCTCCCATTCTGTATACACTTTTGTATTTGTTTGCTAGGGCTGCCATAACAACATACCACAGACTGGGAGGCTTAAACAACAAATTTATTTTCTCACAGTTCTGGAGACTAGACGTCCAAGATCAAGCTGCCAGTGGATTTGGTTTCCTCTGAGGCCTCTTTCCTTGTCTTGCAGATAGCCACCCTCCTGCTCCCTATTCACATGACTGTCCCTCAGTGCACATGCACCCCTGGTGTCTCTCTGTGTGTCATAACCTCCTCTCCTTATAAAGACACTGGTCAAATTGTATTAGAGCCCACCACAACAGCTTTATTTTAATTACCTCTTTGAAGGCCTTGTCTCAAAATATGACTGCAGTCACATACTGCAGTACCAGGGGGTTAGGCCTTCAACATATGAGTTTGGAAAGATATAATTCAGCCCACAACTCTTTTTTCCCTTTTTTTGCCTATTGCATTAGCTAACACTTCCAATAAGATGTTGAATAAGTGTGGTGAGATGGGATATCCTTGCCTTGTTCCTGATATTAACTGGAAAGCTTCTAGTTTCTCACCATTAAATATGACCTTAGTTGTGGATTTTTTGTGGATTTTTTTTTCAAATTGAGGAAATTCTACTCCATTCCTAGTTTTCTGAGTGCTCCTTTACTTTTTGTCTGTATGTACCATCACCATGCACATCTTTCAAGTTCAAAAATGATGAGACACACCTCCTTTGGTATATACTCATAAGTTAATACATTCTGTGTATTTTCCCTGTAATTTTTGAAAGTAGCTTTTTTTCATTTACGTTGGCATATTTCAAGCCCAGGTCAATACCATGAACTGATACAGCAGTTTTCCCGCTTCCAATCTTATCCCCTTTAAATATATCTTCCACATATCCCTGAAGATTTCTGCTGATTTAAAACCACCTGCTCTCAGGTACCCACTTTGCAATCTCTGTGTTTGTCTTTAGCATGCACATCTCCAGATTTTAATATCTTAATTATTAAGTATCAGAATTAATACAGTCACATCTGTCCAAGGATGTGACTCTCCCACTAAATTGGTAAGCTCCCTAAGGAATGAGGTTATTTATACCTGAGCCTACCACATATAACATATTACACATATAACATAGAACATATTACACAGGTAGTCAATAAAATTAATCAAATAAATTAATAAATATTCAGAGGCACAGATGAGTAAATTTTGGTCACACTCTATTTTGATGACTGTCTTATTTCTATACATTTATTAAATATTCCTCACAATAATTAATACAGAAAAATTATGAAGATATAAATAGAGGGAATGATTGCTTAAAAATGTCTGCTTATCTCTATCTCCAACTGTGGTTCTTCTTGTTGTTGTTGTTGGGGCAGATTTGCCATGAGCTAACATCTCTGCCAATCTTCCTCCACTTTGTACGTGGGTCGTCACCACAGCATGGGTGATGAGGGGTGTAGTTTCATGCCCGAGATCTGAACCCATGAACCCAGGTCACTGAAGTGAAGCATGCTGAACTTAACCACTAAGCCATGGAGCCAGCCCTGCCACTTTGGTTCTTTATATTATGTTTCAGCAACTAGTTGTGTCTCAGAGCACTCCACAATGTCTGACACACACAATATACAATTTTCCCAGTTAATGTATATACTGAAGGTTAATTATTGTTTGTTTCTTCATATTATCAATTCCTATCAATATACCACATACAAATATTTGATTCAAGGTAGTTATTCAATAACAATATAACATGCTAAAGAAACTAGTTATGAAAATGGGAAATATTTTAATTAAAAAAAACAAGTTGGATATTATTGTCAATTATCAACGATTGAATATAAGAGGAGGAACAATTCCAAAGAGAAACACTAGAAAAAATATTGCCTAAACACTATAATAAAATATAAAAGTAGCATTCAGCAGTATGTCATAAAAATAAATAGATCAATTCTGTGAAATAAAATGTTATTTGAGATCAGTAGGAGAGTTCATCTTGAAAAATATTTCTGTAATGTCCAGGACATCTCCAATATCCAGGACATTCATGATTAACAATGTCTCAGAAGGAAAAAAATTATACATGGGAAGGGTGTACATCATCTTGAAAAAGCTTCTGATAATCTTTTTAGGATGCTCAGGAGAAAATTTCATTAATGGAGTATGAAATAAACAGCCACAACTCCTTTGGAGGAAGAAAAATAGTAATCAACGAATTTTATTTTTCTTTTCTAGAAGTTTCTTTAAAGCTTCTTTGACATCTTTGTTTCTCAGAGAGTAAATCAAAGGATTCAACATGGGAGTGACTAACGTGTAACATAAGGAGGCCACTTTACTCAGCTCAGGAAATCTGTCAGGAGTGAGATACATAAAAAAGACAGCACCATACAGCACACTCACGACTCCTAGGTGAGAGCTGCACGTGGAGAAGGCTTTCTTACGTCCCCCAGTGGAGTGAATCTTTAGCACGGTAGACACAATATACAAGTAAGAAACAATAATAACTATGATGGTAGGCAAGATAATGATGCTGGATAAGGAAAAAGAAACAATTTTATTGATAAAATGGTCAGAACAAGATAGTCTCTGAAGTGGGCGAGTATCACAGTAAAAGTGGTCAATGGTCCGAGAAGCACAAAAGGGTAAAGTAAATGTCATGCTGGTCTGAAGAACTGCAGTGATGCAGCCACAGAAATAGGAACCAGCCACCAACTGAGAGCAGAGACGTGTTGACATCTGGACAGAGTAGAGGAGTGGGTTGCAGATGGCGATGAAGCGATCATAAGCCATGGCTGCCAGGAGAAATCCCTCAGTCACAATGAAGAGGGCAAAGAGGAAGAGCTGGGTCACACAGCCTGCAAAGGAGATGGACTTGCTCTCAGACCAGAAGTTGATCAGAGCCTTGGGTGCAATAACAGACGAATAGAACAGATCAATGAAAGAGAGGTTGCCTAGGAAGAAATACATTGGTGTGTTCAGCCGGGGATCAGTCATTATAATGGCGATCATCCCAACATTGCCTAGAAGAACCAAGGCATACACAAGCAGAAATAACAGGCAGAGGAGAATGTGCAGCTCCGGGAGGACCCTGAAGCCTACAAGAATGAAGTCAGTCACTTCTGAGTGATTGCTTGTTCCCCTGTCACCCACGGCAGAAACCTGCTGAGAGGTACAAGACGAAGTAAACAAAGAATTCTTGGCTTTGATTGTCGCTACAAAGAATCTCTTACACTATTAGGATTTACAAAGCTAATCTATAACCATTTTTCATTTTAAACTTATAAAATTACTATGACTTAAATTTAAACCAATTCTAACTGATGATGAATCAAAAGGTTAGTTTTATGCCCTAATTCCTACAAGTGGTGGAATTAGATATTTTTCCTCTGAGTCTAATGCAATGTCTTTCCACTCAAATGCCTTTCACATTTGCAAGTAACACTGTATGCATTTCCAACTCATGATTTATGCGCTAAATTCAATGTCATGAAGCAGTGATTGGAACAGAGAACACATTCAATAAATGACATTTGGGAAGCAATTTCATGTCTGGGTTTAGAGATGTAAGGGGCTTCAATAGTCTAGTTTAAGAAAACATAACTTCAAGGGCTTAATTTAGAGTACCAGCAGATATAAAGAAAGTGACTAAATTTGAAAACTACTTAAGAGGCGCAATTAATTTTTGTGGGTAATGGAAACTTTGGATTCTGATATAAGTTATATACTCACTACGATAAAAGTTGTGCACAAACACAAAAATCATTAGCACTCACATTCCTGGATTTCGCTCCCAGATGGGCTTCCAAAGCCCTTTCATAAAGACAATCTCCCTGCATTTCCTCAGTCCACATCTCATACTTTTAAGAAGGGGCCTACAGGTAGCCTAGAGAAAAGAATTACTTTAGAAATGGATATTGAGCACAAGATACATATGAAGGAATTGTTGATTGCATTCTTATTTATCCTGGACATGACTTTCATAGTCATCATTAATTCATTCACTAGACAGCTCATCTACGATTTTGAACTCCTTGTATTAAAAATATGGTCATTCTTTCTCTCCCCTCAGAGCTTTATATGCACAATTCAGCTTGGACAATGTTAATAATAAGAGCTAACATTTATGTGGCACTTTTTATATGACAGACACTTTTCTTAATGCTTTCATAGTATCTCACTTAATCCATACAACAATAATATGAGGTGACTACTATTATATTACCCCAGGAAACTGAGATACAGAGGAATGAAGTCTGTAGATAGCCACCTACTAGGGTTGGAATCGGAATTTGGAACCATGAAATGTGGATCCAGAATCCATGCTCCTGATCGCTGCCTGATAACATCTGTGATAAAGAGCCCTTCTTGTTCGTTTACCTGACTTACTTCTACTTGAACTTTGGAGTTCGACAAAATTACTTATCTTCAAAATAAATTCCCCAGTTCTTCAACCTGAGTTAAAACATCTCTGCATATATCATGCTGCTAAGTATAGTAGCCAAATCACCATGGGTTAAATTAAATATTAATTTCTCACTTGACAATAACCTCCTAATGTCAAAATTTCAATTCATCCTCCATACATTGTGAGCAGAATTGTGTCTGGCAAATGGAAATTATTCAATACGTATTTATTATATAGATAAAAGCTGAATGATAATTGAGCTGCAGAATCAGAGAAAAACTTGAAGACTCTGTAATACTGCAGTGGTTAGCATGGGTTTAGGTTTCGATAGAGGAAAGTTCCAGTGCTGCTTCTCTCATTTTCTAACTGGGACCTTGGACCAGTTACTTATGTAACTTACTTACATCACTTTCATCACTTACTTATGTTACTTCCTTAAGTTACTGATGTAACTTTTGCCAAATTACTATACCACCGCATCCTCATATAAAGGAGAGATAACAATAACGTAACCCTCAAAGTTTTCTTGGGGGTAGACAATGAGATAATGCATGTAAATCACTTAGCACCACTTATGACAGAGTAAGTACTAAATAAATATTAGCCATTATTATATTTATTATATATACTGTGCTTAATGCCACAATGCACACCAAAATCATCAGTAGTAATTAGGTTGAAAATTGATAACAAGTGTGTGGGGTTTTTTGGATAAATCACTCCAAGTTGAGGGAAGGAATCAGAGAAACTGTAAAAGTTTAGAAAGAATAAAGAAACCTGAGAGACGTTTAACATTTTCCCTGACAAAAAGATGAGTAATAGGAAAATGGCATGGTGTATTATTTTTGTATTATGCTAGTCACCACCTCCGTCGAATATTAAATTTTCAAATAATTGTATAATAAAGAAGGAAGATTTCAAGTACATTATAATTAGGTTCTGGGGAGATGTAAGATGTTTAAGCAGTGAAAAGAGAACCTGAAGTAGTCCTGAAATATTTTTTGAAAAATAATATATCTTATTTATATTCCTTTAGTCTGACCTAAGAGCAAGGACACAGATTATTTTAATTTTTGAGATTTATTCCCATTAAAATCATTCTAATATTAATGTTTATGACTGAAGACATGTATCCCTAGGAATGGGAGATTTTTTCCCAGAGTAGCCAACAAACAAGTAGTCATTTGTGACTTATTATTAGTCAAAAACTCACATGTTTTAAAATTTACTTTTACCTTGTATTGTTTGGTAATTTGTCAGATTCTGTAAAATGCAGCAGAATTCGACGTTTTCCTCTTGTTATTGTCTTAATTCTAGAAAGGGGAAATGTAAAGATAATTACTGGCTAACAACTACACGTACTGAAAAATCATCACATCAAGATAAAAAAAGAACCCTTCTCTCCCCAAAATTTCCAAATGCATTTTCATTATCCCAGTTTTAGTTTCTTCCCATAGAGAAATTTGACATATTTGCATTATTGCTCTGTTTGAATAACTGTCCTTTTTTTTTTAGTAGTTAATTTCTTGAAAAATTCTATAGTCTCTTATAGAAGAGAGACAAAGTGTATGTTCTAAATGATGCTCTGTTAAAACTGAAATAATTCCAGGAATTTTATTCTAAGGTTATACAAAGTGAACTTGAGGAATCAGTCTGCAGAATATTCTCTCTCCTGCATTTTTGGATGCTTGAATCCTTTTAAAGGAGGAAAGTAGGTTGTCTTGGATACATAACTAGAGGCCCTGAGACATCAGGAATCCCCAATAATCTGCCAAAATATCAGCGGCAGTTCTCCATAATGGCTTTGGCTTTGGCATAACAGTATAACTTTTTCAAATAATTGCAGCGTTGAGGTTTCCCTCACCTTCTGGGAGACAGTCCTCCTGGGAAAGAAGGAAGCATGTCACTTATTAAGATATCTAGGATTCAGAGACAAAGTCCATGAGGACCAGAGAGACAATAGATTTAAAAAGAAGAAGAAAGTAAAGGAAAAAAAAGAGCCTAATAGGAGTCAAAATATATGGAAGAGTTTTTTCTTTTCTTACTGTGTGAGTCCTTTGGGAGGGAACAAATGGATCTGTCAATCTTGATTTCTTCAGTGAAAAAGAAGCATTTCAATTTATCATGACAGCAAAGTTTTTGGTAGGCAAATAGAAGTAGTTATGAAAGCAAATATTATCCTTCATAATACAAGTTATAGGGAATTTTTTGTTTCTGGTCATAAGTTCATTTCATTTTCACCCAAAACTCTCCATATTTATTCTTTAGCTATATTTTGCCCATAATAATGGATAATAAGAAGTAGAATAGCATGACCACAATATAAGGCAAAACATAACTAATGCCCTCTCGTTCGTTATGTAAAGATTGAATGATGATTGACTGGATCTAAAGGTAGGTTCACTTTGTGACTTTAACTGCTTTAAAGTTGTTTACCCAGGTGCCATGTATTAAGTTAATAATTTCTCAACAGTCACTTATACCCTTGAAAATAATTTTTTAAAGTGTTCTATATAAGTCCCCAAATCCCAATTGTATTTGCTAAAAATTAAATCACTAAGCTAACTGCCATAAATACATCTTAAGTAACATAGTAAGGGAAGGAGAATGAGTAAAAAGGAAGAAAATATAGTGACTCATAAAATCCTCATATATGAAACTGGTAAAAGGCAAGAGTTAATATTTTTCTTTCCATGTTCCGTTTGGTCTCAACAATAACCTCCGTATGCAGAAGTTGTTTACATGAGAGGTGATGAAAATCTTGAAGCCCATGGAATAGTAACTCTCCGTTTTCCTCTCCCAGTCAGCCCCTGGAAACCACCATTCTACTCTCTGCTTCTATGAGTTTGACAGTCTTACATATCATATGAAAGTTGAATCATACAATGTTTGCCCTTCTGTGACTGGCTTTTTCTCTTAACTTAATGTCTTCTAAGTTCATGCATTTTGTCATATACAACAGGATTTCCTTCCTTTTTAAGGCTGAATATTATTGCTTGTATTTACCACATTTTCTTTATCCATTAATCTGTCAATGGACCTTTAGTCTGTCTCTACATCTTTTTGATTACTAGCATCAGAAAATTGGGCACGTGTCATTGGCCATTTTCAGGTCCGCCTATCTTGAGCAATCATTTGGTTGAGTTCTCTCTCTTCTACCATGGCTATATTATTGATGAGAACCCATTGAATGAGCACTGAAGTGAATGAAAAAGAGGCTGAAAGATAGTGGATCACTGCATTCACCAGGTTACTGAGAACCTCCTCCACATTTGATGCAATTTACTGAGCATTTATGTAGGAAATTAATATTCTCAATTCTTTTTACCATTCAGGGAGGTCTATCTACAAACAGACCACCTTGTCAATAATCCTTCAATCTTATTGCTTCCAAGTTCCTGGGTATCCAGCTAAATGATTATCCCGCCACACCTAAATCACTGTAAGTAAGTATCCCAGACCATATTTCAGGCAATAAAACAACAAGGTATGAAATTTTGTCCATTGAGCTTGAAATTATGTCCATTAAGAACATTTTTGTTACCAGTGCCTTTTAGGGAACAACTTTGAGTTGGACTAGTATGCTGCAGTAGTCCATTTCCAGCCAGTGGTCATATTACAACGCAGCACAATCTATAAACCTGGCTTAATTTATTTTTTCTCAGAAACTGTGGATACAAAATGTCCCACATGATCTCAAATGTAGGCTGAAAGAAAGGTGGCAATGCAGCAGGAGCTGGTACACTGGAAATGTGAGCCACTTGTCCACAAAATTACTTCTGACCTTAAGATACATTGAGACATCATGTACACAACTGTCACTTCACGACACAGTACTTCTCT